CTTTTGTTTTGGTTTTAATTTTAAGGGCTAATAATTGTCCTTATCCTTTCATTGTCATTGGCACGATGCTTTCATTCATTATGTAGGCTGCATTTTTCAACTTGGAAGGGTTGAGTATCACCCACTTGAAAAACTTGGAGATGATATGGCAGAGCAAAGTACATGCAGATTCCTTTTCCAAACTAAAATCTTTAAGAGTTGAAAACTGTGAAAAGTTATTGACTATTTTTCCTTCTACTGAGGTAATATATTTCTCATTTCACTTTCGTTTTGGTTTTAATTTTAAGGGCTAATAATTGTCTTTATGCTTTCATTGTCATTGGCATCATGCTTTCATTCATTATGTAGGCTGCATTTCTCAACTTGGAACAGTTGACTATCACCCAATCAAAAAACTTGAAGATGATATGGCGGAGCAAGGTACATGCAAATTCATTTTCCAAACTGAAATAATTAACTGTTGAAAACTATGAAAAGTTATTGACTGTTTTCCCTTCTACAGAGGTAATGTGTTCCTCATTTCACTTTCGTTTTGATTTTATTTTTAGGGGCTAATAATTATCCTTATCCTTTCATTGTCATTGGCACAATAGTTTCATTTGTTATGTAGGCTGCATTTCTCAACTTGGAACAGTTGACTATCACCCAATCAAAAAACTTGAAGATGATATGGCAGAGCAAAGTACATGCAAATTCATTTTCCAAACTGAAATAATTAACTGTTGAAAACTGTGAAAAGTTATTGACTGTTTTCCCTTCTACAAAGGTAATGTGTTCCTCATTTCTCTTTCGTTTTGGTTTTATTTTAGGGGCTAATAATTATCCTTATCCTTTCATTGTCATTGGCACAATACTTTCATTTGTTATGTAGGCTGCATTTCTCAACTTGGAAGAGTTAACTATCACCCACTTGAAAAACTTGGAGATGATATCGCAGAGCAAAATACATGCAGATTCCATTTCCAAACTGAAGTCATTAACAGTTGAAAATTGTGAAAAGTTATTGACTTTTTTTCCTTCTACTGAGGTAATGTGTTCCTCATTTCACTTTCGTTTTGGTTTTAATTTTAAGGGCTAATAATTGTCTTTATCCTTTTATTGTCATTGGCACGATGTTTTCATTCATTATGTAGGCTGCCTTTTTCAACTTGGAAGAGTTGAGTATCACCCACTTGAAAAACTTGGAGATGATATGGCAGAGCAAAGTATATACAGATTCTTTTTCCAAACTTAAGTCATTAACAGTTGAAAACTGTGAAAAGTTGTTGACTGTTTTTCCTTCTACTGAGGTAATGTGTTCTTCATTTCACTTTCCTTTTGGTTTTAATTTTAAGGGCTAATAATTGTCCTTATCCTTTCATTGTCATTGGCACGATGCTTTCATTCATTATGTAGGCTGCATTTC